CACATCAATGGCTAGAGACATTATCAGACATGGCCCAGTCGCGCCCTCAATGGCGCTCGTGCATCAAAACTATTGCCTTCCATGCATAGCTACTTTTCCAACTCCCCCCCCACTTGACAGCCCGCTGACAGTGCTGGATTTATGCACCGATTTACCAGCTCGCCCCTGCAATGCGCAGCTACCTACCACCCCCCCCAAATCATCGGTGAACGAAACTGCGACAGCTACAACCACTGTACAACGAGTACGTGGTTATCACAGCTGACAATGATGATGATGATGATGATGATGTAAATATGGAGCCGGGTCTCAGATGTGTCCGAGTGTATTTCGCTACCCAAGCGTTATCATGCTGCTGGTCCTGAGGATCTTCCACCTGCTCTATTCAAAGATGGCGGTGGGTTTCTCAGCCAGTACCGATCTAGCCTATTTGGGTCTAACGGGAAGAAATAGACCGTCCCAGATAACTAAGATAAGTCTATGGGTACTCGAAGTGAATGTAGTAACTACTGAGGTGTTAGTTTGACTCCTGATCTGACAAGGCTTCCGGCGTCACTGATTTTTCAAAGTCTTACGGTGGTACGCGAAACCTTGATTCATGAGAATCAAGCGGAATTTCGAACGGGTAGAGGCTGAGTTGACCACATCTTCACAACCCAACATGTATACACGACCCAAAGTCTTAGTGTTTTCCTTTACTTCAAGGGTGCGTCCGATTTCGTCGGTGGGTAAGTGCTGTTAACTACACTTACGAAAAAGGGTATGCCCCCAGAGCAGGCAGTCTCTGAACATACCCCTTAAAATTCAAGGAGAATCAGTGAATGTTGTGAAAAATTTTACGCACCTGTTACGAATAGAATATCGATCCTGATTGAGCGCGAGAACAAGAATGAATAGCGTAGAATGAATAGCGCTTTACTTGTCTAAGATTAGACGTACACAAGCTGAAAATGAAGGCGAAAGCATGGTTAATACAAAAAGATAATGTGAGCACAAAGAATATTCATGACAGCACCTCGGTAGCTCTATTAGTTCTGATGATATTTGATAAAGTTAATGTAAGAATCTTAAAGGCTCGAATAACGTTTGCTAATTTGCGTCATTTGCAGCGTCACTGGGTCTTAGGGGTCGCATGTACCAGGCTACACTAAGGGCTGTGTTTCTGTATGGCTGCGAGACGTGGCCTATGCGAATATGAGGCGTCTTTAGGTTTTTTACCACCGATGCCTCAGAAGCGTGGTGGATGGATGGCCTCAGCAGATTAGTAGCGAGGTGATTAGAAAACGGATAGTTGGTTGCGCGGCAGGCAGTTAAGTCGCGGAAATCATCCAGCACCATCAGCGGCTGTGGCTCGGTCATGCGCTACGCATGCAGAAACACCGTTTACCGAGACGAATGTTATACTCCATGCTTCACTCAGAATGGCGCAAACCCCGAGATGGAAAACACATGATTTTGCAGAAGGATGTAAAAGAGATTACAAGGAGTTTGGGTGCTGTTGGTGTTGTAAGCCTTTCAGGATGGAGCTCCCGTGATCCCGCATGTCCATCGCTGGAGACATTGTATGAAATGGCGGTTAATCGGTCATTTACGTTCGTGCTGACAGTTTCTTTTCAGATTGTCTGATTGAGCGCCTGGAAGTGTACGCATCTCGGAATGCTTGATAAAGGTTGGCACAGAGTCCCTTCGCCCACCAACTCTTTTCTTTTCACTTTAGGGTTTTAAATAACTTAATGAGCTTTATGGATGTACGGCTGTGAAGCATCAGTGTCAACACCGACTTCGCTTTCCCTATGATGATGACGCGAGATACGGAGCACACTGCCAAGTCAGTGTTATGGTTGCAGCCGAATCAAATCAGTAACTAGACGTGCCGCTGATCTGTTGCCGAAAACCGTCGCATTTCAACATCGCTAATTCGATGTTCCGCGATAAATGCACAACTCTTCAAAGCCTTTGATGGTCAAAGACAAGAGATCTTCTCGTATTTCCAAAACGCAGCTACCAGGCGCTGCAAGGCAACGTTGGACGCATTCCAAAGTTGTGGACCCTACCCTTTGCCGATAAGTTAATGCCACATCGACCCCAGTGGCGCCTGAGTTCAAGGAAAGCAGAACGGGCTTTTTTATTTTGACACCCATTTCGTTCACAGTGGTGCCACCCGACGTGACGTGACTACTCAGATAGATAAATGCGTACATTTTCTCCCTTGACAGCCCGCTGACAGTGCTGGATTTATGCACCGATTTACCAGCTCGCCCCTGCAATGCGCAGCTACCTACCACCCCCCCCAAATCATCGGTGAACGAAACTGCGACAGCTACAACCACTGTACAACGAGTACGTGGTTATCACAGCTGACAATGATGATGATGATGATGATGATGTAAATATGGAGCCGGGTCTCAGATGTGTCCGAGTGTATTTCGCTACCCAAGCGTTATCATGCTGCTGGTCCTGAGGATCTTCCACCTGCTCTATTCAAAGATGGCGGTGGGTTTCTCAGCCAGTACCGATCTAGCCTATTTGGGTCTAACGGGAAGAAATAGACCGTCCCAGATAACTAAGATAAGTCTATGGGTACTCGAAGTGAATGTAGTAACTACTGAGGTGTTAGTTTGACTCCTGATCTGACAAGGCTTCCGGCGTCACTGATTTTTCAAAGTCTTACGGTGGTACGCGAAACCTTGATTCATGAGAATCAAGCGGAATTTCGAACGGGTAGAGGCTGAGTTGACCACATCTTCACAACCCAACATGTATACACGACCCAAAGTCTTAGTGTTTTCCTTTACTTCAAGGGTGCGTCCGATTTCGTCGGTGGGTAAGTGCTGTTAACTACACTTACGAAAAAGGGTATGCCCCCAGAGCAGGCAGTCTCTGAACATATCCCTTAAAATTCAAGGAGAATCAGTGAATGTTGTGAAAAATTTTACGCACCTGTTACGAATAGAATATCGATCCTGATTGAGCGCGAGAACAAGAATGAATAGCGTAGAATGAATGGCGCTTTACTTGTCTAAGATTAGACGTACACAAGCTGAAAATGAAGGCGAAAGCATGGTTAATACAAAAAGATAATGTGAGCACAAAGAATATTCATGACAGCACCTCGGTAGCTCTATTAGTTCTGATGATATTTGATAAAGTTAATGTAAGAATCTTAAAGGCTCGAATAACGTTTGCTAATTTGCGTCATTTGCAGCGTCACTGGGTCTTAGGGGTCGCATGTACCAGGCTACACTAAGGGCTGTGTTTCTGTATGGCTGCGAGACGTGGCCTATGCGAATATGAGGCGTCTTTAGGTTTTTTACCACCGATGCCTCAGAAGCGTGGTGGATGGATGGCCTCAGCAGATTAGTAGCGAGGTGATTAGAAAACGGATAGTTGGTTGCGCGGCAGGCAGTTAAGTCGCGGAAATCATCCAGCACCATCAGCGGCTGTGGCTCGGTCATGCGCTACGCATGCAGAAACACCGTTTACCGAGACGAATGTTATACTCCATGCTTCACTCAGAATGGCGCAAACCCCGAGATGGAAAACACATGATTTTGCAGAAGGATGTAAAAGAGATTACAAGGAGTTTGGGTGCTGTTGGTGTTGTAAGCCTTTCAGGATGGAGCTCCCGTGATCCCGCATGTCCATCGCTGGAGACATTGTATGAAATGGCGGTTAATCGGTCATTTACGTTCGTGCTGACAGTTTCTTTTCAGATTGTCTGATTGAGCGCCTGGAAGTGTACGCATCTCGGAATGCTTGATAAAGGTTGGCACAGAGTCCCTTCGCCCACCAACTCTTTTCTTTTCACTTTAGGGTTTTAAATAACTTAATGAGCTTTATGGATGTACGCATGCGCTACGCATGCAGAAACACCGTTTACCGAGACGAATGTTATACTCCATGCTTCACTCAGAATGGCGCAAACCCCGAGATGGAAAACACATGATTTTGCAGAAGGATGTAAAAGAGATTACAAGGAGTTTGGGTGCTGTTGGTGTTGTAAGCCTTTCAGGATGGAGCTCCCGTGATCCCGCATGTCCATCGCTGGAGACATTGTATGAAATGGCGGTTAATCGGTCATTTACGTTCTGACAGACAGTTTCTTTTCAGATTGTCTGATTGAGCGCCTGGAAGTGTACGCATCTCGGAATGCTTGATAAAGGTTGGCACAGAGTCCCTTCGCCCACCAACTCTTTTCTTTTCACTTTAGGGTTTTAAATAACTTAATGAGCTTTATGGATGTACGGCTGTGAAGCATCAGTGTCAACACCGACTTCGCTTTCCCTATGATGATGACGCGAGATACGGAGCACACTGCCAAGTCAGTGTTATGGTTGCAGCCGAATCAAATCAGTAACTAGACGTGCCGCTGATCTGTTGCCGAAAACCGTCGCATTTCAACATCGCTAATTCGATGTTCCGCGATAAATGCACAACTCTTCAAAGCCTTTGATGGTCAAAGACAAGAGATCTTCTCGTATTTCCAAAACGCAGCTACCAGGCGCTGCAAGGCAACGTTGGACGCATTCCAAAGTTGTGGACCCTACCCTTTGCCGATAAGTTAATGCCACATCGACCCCAGTGGCGCCTGAGTTCAAGGAAAGCAGAACGGGCTTTTTTATTTTGACACCCATTTCGTTCACAGTGGTGCCACCCGACGTGACGTGACTACTCAGATAGATAAATGCGTACATTTTCTCCGACGATCTAGATGTTATGACGAGCTTTGGTGGTGCACTCGTACGGCCTTGCAATAGCACTGTGGACTCTGAAAGCACAAGCCGCATACCAAAATCCATGGCAACATTATCTCGATGGACGGAGTGTGGAAAAATCGTTCAGCTGTAGCACGCTGTCGATGCCTAGCTGTCATGGCAACAGCACAAGGGCTGAGACAGAAGTTGATGACACAGAATGCTTCTTCGATTAATTTGACTACGAAGTTGAAAAGGAAACAGAGAATGGTATCTGTGGACTTTCACACACCTGCAAATGTTGCAGTAAAAAGAGTGGAGAAGTGTGACGAAAATGTCCGCACATCTGTGGAGATGTCTCCACGAATTCGAACGCCACGTTAGAACTAGGAATACAACCATTATTGGCCTTGTGTGCATGTGGCGATGTTCGCGAAGTTATCGTAAGGATACGACCTGGTTAATTCATCCACGAATCGGACGATACTATGCTTGGTTTTAACGTCTCTGTCTCTCACATGTGCTCGTAGGCCTGTGTAGGGTGATATCCACGAACGACTTGAAAACAATAGTAACTAAGCTGATACTCGGATGATTCTTTCATATCTAACACCCTTTAAAGACATTAGCGGCAGTAAATATCTGCCACTCATCCGATACTTAATTCCTCTTCCAACTACAAGTTGTTGTCATTGTGGTGGGTGTCATTACGACCCTTATTACCGACATAAGCGACATAAATGCTCCAGGTGCAAACGTCATGATCAAAAAGATATATGCCAAAATCAGATGTCACAGCCACTAGCACGCCACCATGCAGCTCAATTATTGCGGTAAAACTAAGTGGCGGCGTCATTCAAATACGATGTTGCTTGCCTAAGGAAGTTTGTGACAGTTCGCAGCAAAAACATCCTGGTTCGTTTGCAGCTTGATAAAGAATCCGACAAGACGCTCCTCAGTGAACGAACGTAGAAACGATTTCGTGGGCCACACTTAAATCGACCTAACATCAGGAATCTATGTTTCTGGTGGTAAACTGGAGTTTGACTAGTGAAGTTGACTGCCCCATAAGCTTTAATGTCACGAAAGTACAGGCCGCATGCTGCCCAAATCCATGGCTCAGACTTCATCTCACGGAGCTGGACTGATTGATAGGTCGAATCATCTGTGAAAGCTGATTAATTATATCGACT